GAGACTCTCCCTTGGCGGAGCCAAGGAAGCCTTCTAGCTTGTCCTCAGGTCGTCTCCGACTCTTTGTAGCATGCTAGCAATTAGAAGATCACAATATCACCATTTTAAATGTTAAATGCTTTATGTATTCTATTATGTTTTGTTATTTTAGTATCAATATTTTATATTTAATATACCCCTTATTATGTAAGGTTTAATTATGTTTGCTTATTGTTTAATGTTGTGAACCACCCAGAATGACCCTTTTTTTAAAAAAAGGTGCTGCAGCAAGATTTCAGCACCCTTGTTTCCCTACCCTCCCCCCACATTCTTCTGCAAATCAACCATGGTTGGGTGTGACATCTGAATACTGTTCTTGAATGTAAAGAATTGAATACACAGATTTAAAGGTCAAAGGAATTTAAGCATATCTTCAAAGCAGAAAAACATTATTAACCAAATGTAAAAGGAGTACAGTAGATAGAACAGAAACATACAGAAAATATTTACAGGGACAGACAGAACACTGATAAAACTTGGTGCCATCAGGAATGCCATTGTAAGTACTTGGAATCTAATTCTTGGCTATTTAACGCAGAGGCACCAAACGTCTCACTGAATTTTTTAAATAAGGTGGTGGAATGCTTCCTTTTGGCTGTTTTCCCTGTGTTGACTGGTGAAGGCTTTTTTGAAGCAGCTCCATCTGGGTGGGCACCATATTTTCTACAGGGAAGCAGCAGAAGCATTTGGAGAAAGGCATTATCATTGTCAAGCAAGGAAGCTATTCATGACAAGCAATTGTGGAAAGTGAGCAGTCTGTAGCCTAATGAGTTGTCTTCAAATACAGTATACCGTTTCCCCGAAAATAAGATCTAACCTGAAAATAAGCCCTAGTATGATTTTTCAGGATGCTCATAATATAAGCCCTACCCCCCAAATAAGCCCTAGTTAAGTGAAACCCCACCCTCCACCATTGTGCAGCAACCAGAAGATGATGTGACTGTACTTGAATAAATGTGGACTGTTGTACATGAAAAAAATAAAACATCCCCTGAAAATAAGCCCTAATGCGTTTTTTGGAGCAAAAATTAATATAAGACCCTATCTTATTTTCAGAGAAACACAGTACAGTCATGCCCCGCTTTATGATTGCCCTACACTACGACGAAATTGCATTACGATGATGCTTTTGTGATTGCAAAACGATGGTCTGAATAGGCTTTTTTTTTGCTTTGTGAGGATCGGTTCCCTGCTTCAGGAACCAATTCTTCACAAAACAACGATTTTCCTAGAGATGATCGGCCGTTTCAAAATGGCCACCGGGTAAATAAAATGGCTCCCCGCTGTTTTCTGGGACGGATTCCTCGCAAGACAGCCACCGAAAATGGCCGCTCTATGGAGGATCTTCGCTGGACGGTGAGTTTTTAGCCCACTGGAACGCATTAAACGGGTTTTAATGTGTTTCAATGGGTTTTTTATTTTCGCATTACGACGTTTTCATTCTACAGCAATTTCGCTGGAACAAATTAACATCATAATGCGAGGCACCACTGTACTTGCTAGAGCAGGCATAGTGTTGCTCCTGGGAAAAAAGAAGCAATGAACTCTCTCCTGCCTGTTTTTTCTTGAGGAGGCGGATGAGCTGGAAGATGTGCTGTTGGGTGTTGCTGTCTCAGGCACTCCACAAACCTTTGGATATTTAACTGCACACAAGCAACCAGCATTCCTAACTGGAAGAACTGTGTGTGTGTATTTATGTGTGTGTACCAGTAGATGTCGCTTTCCCAAAATGCTGGGTGTGCCTTTAGACAGTGCTGCCCAGCCACATATTTCCTCTCCTCTTCCCCTTGAGGAAAGCTTTCAGATGAACCACATATTTCCTCTCCTCTCTCTTCCCCTTGAGGAAAGCTTTCAGATGATGCTCAGCACTGGAGTCATTTTGCTGAGTGTTGGTTAAAGCCCACACTGTTCAATCCATTCCTCCAATTTCAGGTCCTGGGGTGTGTATGTTGAAGCTGAAGGCATGGGGAGCACACTTCTGGGAGGCACCCAGAAGGACCCTTGGTCTGCAAATGACTATGCAAATCAGATCTCGTGCCTGTGGGGTTCAGCTGAGCTTTTATACTTATCTCCCCCACCCAGGGCCTTCCCTTCTCTCAAAGATGTTTAGATAAACCACAACAAATCAGAAAACACATTCTAATTCTTGTTCTGTGCTCCATGCAGCCAAACCCTTCCTTGTCCGAGACAGGTGTGCTGCCAAACAAACACTGCAAACAGAATTTAGCATAGAGGAAACCCACAAAGCTGAAGCTCTGGAAATCCCTTCAGGCAGCCTGGACTGAAAATGGAGGGGAGGGCAGTTGGCACTGAAGCAGGAGGAGAGACCAAGGAGCAGGAAGCATGAAATTGTAACAAAGTACACCTCAAGACATTAGGGTTGAGCAGCCAATATTCTTACACTGTTTAGGCCCAATAACTAATGGAAAAAACAAAGCCCCGGCTTGCTTAACTGTTTGTTTGTTTACCCAAAGGTCTCTGGGCGGCTTACAACAATTAAAATACAGTAAAAAAAGATAAAACAATTTAAATATAGACTAAAAATTGCCATCAGGACGCTCAGTTGATATTTCAATTAAAAGCCTTCTGGAAGAGGAAGGTTTTGACCTGGTGCCGAAATGTCATCAGCGTTGGCGCCAGATGAATCTCAATCGGGAGGGCATTCCATAGTCCGGGGGCAGCTGCCGAGAAGGCCCTTTGTCTACAAGCCATCCCACTTACCTCTTTGAGGGATGGCGCTTTCAAAAGTGCCCCCTGGCTAGATCTTAACTGCCAGATAGGTTCATATGGAAGGAGGCAATCCTTCAGGTATCCAGGGCCCAAGCCGTTTAGAGTTTTATGTGTCAAAACAAGCACTTCAAATTGGGCTCAGGCAGCAAGTGGTAGCCAATGTAATTTAAACAGAATCGGCTTGATGTGTCCCCTAGCAGCCCCACCCTCACCTGGTTTGCTTAACTATTTGTTTGTTTGTTTACCCAAAAGTCTCTGGGCGGCTTACAACAATTAAAATACAGTAAAAAAAGATAAAACAATTTAAATATAGACTAAAAATTGCCATCAGGACGCTCAGTTGATATTTCAATTAAAAGCCTTCTGGAAGAGGAAGGTTTTGACCTGGTGCCGAAATGTCATCAGCGTTGGCGCCAGATGAATCTCAGTTGGGATGGCATTCCATAGTCTGGGGGCAGCTGCTGAGAAGGCCCTTTGTCTACAAGCCATCCCACTTACCTCTTTGAGGGATGGCGCTTTCAAAAGTGCCCCCTGGCTAGATCTTAACTGCCGGATAGGTTCATATGGAAGGAGGCAATCCTTCAGGTATCCAGGGCCCAAGCCGTTTAGAGTTTTATGTGTCAAAACAAGCACTTCAAATTGGGCTCAGGCAGCAAGTGGTAGCCAATGTAATTTAAACAGAATCGGCTTGATGTGTCCCCTAGCAGCCCCACCCTCGCCAGCCGCACAGCTCGATTCTGGACCAGTTGCAGTCGCCGGACCGTCTTCAAAGGCAGTCCCACGTAGAGCGCATTGCAGTAATCTATACAAGATGTTACCTGTGTGTATATAACTGTCATGAGACTCAGCTCGTTCAAGTAGGGCCGTAGCTGGTATAATATCTGCAGCTGAAGGAAGGCGTCCCTGGGTCACCGAATCCAGAGTTAGACTGAGGTCTAGGAGCATCCCCGGGCTGTGAACCCTGTCCCTTGGGGGAGTGTAACCCCATTCAGGGCACGGAAGTGGCCCTTCAGCCTGTCCGACAAAGCAGCCACTAACAGGACTTCCATCTTGTCTGGACTGAGTCTCAGTTTATTAATCCACATCCAGTCCATTATCAGGTCCAGACATGAGTTCAGCACAGAAACCGCCTCACCTGGATTGGTAGAAAACGAGAGGTAGAGCTGAATGTCATCAGCATATTGCTGACTCCTCAGCCCAAACCTCCTAATGAACTCTCCCAGCAGTTCCATGTAGATGTTAAACAGCATGGGGGACAGTATCAAGCCCTGAGGAACTCCATGACATAAACACCATGGGACAGAGCAACTGTCCCCCAGTACCACCCTCTGGACACAGTCAGCTAGGAAGGAGCGGAACCACCGTAAAGTGGTGCCCCCAACTCCCAACCCAGCCAGCCTATCCAGAAGGACACCATGG